GAGAGAGAGAGAGAGAGAGAGAGAGAGAGAGAGAGAGAGCAAATAGATGTCTGTCAGGAACGGCACCTCAAGCCAGGCCCTTCACCATGTTGCTGAAATGTCCAGCCAGGATTACACAGCTTAGCCCTTCCCAGGACCCTGTGACTGCAGCCCAGCTCCATCACTAACCCTCTGCATGACCGACCTTGGTCAAGTTCCTTCTCCTGCCTGTATCTTGGGCTCATGTCCCAACATGTAGAGGTTGGCCAAAATGATGTCAAGGGCTCTTCCCAGCCCTGACGTGCTTGGACTCTGAGATCGGGAACCCACCTTCCCCCAAAGCCATTGAGATGCCTCCGGGAGTTGATTCCTCCTCCTTCCCCACCACTTCTCATCCTGACCCCCACCCCCTTTGCCTTGGCCCAACTCCCAGGGACTCATTGCCATTTGGCAAAACCTATAACAAGATGGCAGTGTTTTCCTGGGAGTCAACAGGAGAAGAAGTGGGTAAAACACAGAGCTGGACACTGTCTATCCACTGTAGAATTCTGGTCTGACACTCTGTTGCTCTCCAGCAGCGGAGAAAGGACTCCCAGATACCACCTAAAGGACAAATTTGGTCTGGGCCCCTTCCTTCACATCTCATTGCCACTTGCCTGGGTTTAACAGCAAGTTAGCTCTCTGTAAATCAGAGTAGGGGCCTCTGTATGCCTCTCTCCCTCCTCCCACACCAATTCCCCAGTTAGTATAACTTCCCTCTAAGTCCCCAGGTCCCCAGCTTTACAGTAACCTCCAGCCTTATCACCACAGCAAGTAGCATCCCCTGGACAGTGCTTCCAGAAAACCAAACAAAACAAAACCAAAACTCCCAAAGCAGAGCTGCCCCAGCCCCCTTCACCAAAGCCCACACAGCTCCCCACTGCCCCGCTCGCCCTGACCCCACCTCCACATTGACTTTATTTACTTCTTACTTGGATGAACTCCTTCTACAGCCTCCAAATCACCTCCCAGAGAACACTTCATATGCTTAAATCCATCTTTTCTTCTGACTCCCCTTTGCTATCCAAGCTAGCCCCCTGGGTCCAGTTTAAGCCCATCCTCCACTCTAAGCCTCCCAGGGCCACTGCCCTTGAAGACTGCAGCAGGATTTACTGGCAAGATGTTCTAGGTGAGCCGACATGGGCTCTTTTATTTAAGTCCTAAGGGGTGTGCTTTGCTTTGCCTTTTTCACCATGCTGTCATGTTAATGTTCATGTAGGCAAAGCCCATCTCTGCAGTTCTGAGAGCCAGCATGGTGTCCATCATCCATGAGCAGTGGAAAATGCTATTGATGGTTTAATGCGTGCAGAAATGGCAGGCATTTCCCTTTTCCTCCAACCCTGCTGTCGCTTTCCAAATTGCTCATGGTTCTTACTTAGAGAGATAGTAGAAGCTGGCGCTAGCAGTGGAACACGTTCCGCTGGTATTCACTTAGACTGTGCTGGTCAAGAAGACGATGCCACCTCGATTGTCTACTCCCTACCCCATCATCCATGGGTTTTTGTCACCTCTCAGTTTGACTCTGCCACCTAGACAGAAGCTGTCCTTGGGGTAGTGGCTAGGATGCCTGGAAGGGGCTCTATGCGAGAATGTTGTCAGCTCTTCTTGACCCGTCTGCCTCCTCAGGACCATCTTGTGGCCAGTCCCTCCAGATAAGACTGGGTAAGTGAGAGAGCCTCTCACTCACTCAGCCTCTAGTGGCCACAGTGGGGTTAGCGCCTGGTTGGATCTCAGCCTTCACAACTCAGCGTGGTTACCAGATGAGGGCAGGGATTGTTAGCTCTGTTAGTCAGAGCAGTGGGTACCAGTTAGGAAAGGGAAGGGATCCCCTCCCCAGAGCCACCAGGCTGATGGCAGCGGACTTAGGATGGGAAGCTGGGACTTCTGACTCCACACGCAGGGCTGTGTCCCTGCTGAGCTCTTGGCCGCTTCCTTTGCCTCCATATGTTATAGAGCTCAGGCCCAGGCAGGCCTGGCAGAACTACCAAGTGCCTAGTGATGCCAACTCGCAGGATACTTGAGAGCAGCCCTGATTGGTTGAAGGTCAGCAGGGCCCGACTTAGTCACTCACCTGGTTAGTCACATCCTCCACTCCCACCCCTTCATTCCTGGTCTCACAGCTAAGGGAACCCCTCCTTCCCTGCTCCCCAAGTTCACCAGACACAAATGGAAACTCTTTCCTTGGGAAACCTCGCCCTCCCTAGCTGTTGAGTCATCAGACTCCTCCAGGCCCCAGCCCCCTCTATTCATAGCCCAAAGCTGTCAGAGCAGGAAGGGGCCTGGGGATCAGCTGGTGCCATTGCTTCCTCCTACAGAGAAGGCATGGGGAGGGGGAGGGCAAGAGTCACACAGAAGGAGTTCAAAATCTGACTCCTGGGCCCCCCTGGCGCCTCTTTACCTGTTACTATTTGTTTAATTCTATTTACTTATTTTGTGATGCCAGGGATGGAACTCAGGACCTCCTGCATGCTAGGCAAGTGAGCTCCTTGGTGCTATTTTTATCACCACGGTAGCCACCATAGTAATGGCAGCCTTCCTTTATTATCTACGCTCTGGCAGGCTCTATCTGGGCACTTCATTTGTATTCCCTTGTTAAGTTCTGCCAGTCCTTCAAGACTGACCTTATTACCCCCACTTTCGGCTAAGCAATGGAAGACTCTAAGTCAGCCACTCACCCATGGCCTCAGAGCTTGAGAGTAAAGCACCTGTGCAGACTCAACGGGCCTATTTGACTCTCTCCCTCTCTCTCTCTCTCTCTCTCTCTCTCTCTCTCTCTCTCTCTCTCT